CTCTCTCTCTCTCTCTCTCTCTTTCTTTCCTTCTTTCTTTCTTTCTTATTTTTTTCTGAGACAGGGTTTCTCTGTGTAGCCCGGGCTGTCCTGGAACTCACTCTGTAGACCAGACTGGCCTCGAACTCATAAATCTGCCTGCCTCTGCCTCCCAAGTGCTGGGATTAAAGGTGTGAGCCACCACCGCCCAGTGGAAACCTCTTCTTCAATGGGATGTTAGTAAGGATTGAGTCTTTAGGAGTTGTCACAGGAGACCAGGGGATCTAAAAAAATCCACTACAAAGAACTGTATCTAGGGTCTTGCACACTCTAGAGAAGTCCTCTTCACTAAGCTGTATTCCTGTAACATTGGAGTTTTATGTATTTGGTAATTTCATATATGAACACAATGTGTCCTGATCTGGAACCCCATTATTTATCCTGTCTGCTCAGTTGAAGACATAAGGTTCAATCTTTGGCAAAGAGAGCTAGCCCTCATCTCATAGCGCATATGCTGGTATCTCAACCTTGAGCTTTGAGCTCTCCACAACTATAAACACATTTATATCGTTAATAAGCCATACATGCTATGATACATATATGTCAACACATGTACACAGCATATATATTATTGAAATGCAATGTATGCATACAGGATGGATAGCCCTTTAGCTTCTGAGCTCACAAAACCAGTCTCTCAAGGAGCTGAACCACAGACATCCATTTCAGGACTGAACTAGCCGGCAGCTTATATACATGTTTTTTATGGCAGATTAAACTGATGAAGGCAGTTGGTCTGGGGCTTATCAGATACGTTATAAGTCATTTGTATTTGTGAGAAAGCTTGGTGGTTGGTAAAATGGACATGGAAATTTGACACTCAACCATCTCTGATATAGACAACTACCCCAGAGCTTTCAAGGAGGGCATGGAGGATTGGATTTCTGGTTTTACATATGTCAGTTAAGTCCTCTACCATTGAGCTGTATTCCATGAACCTTGAGATTTTTTTCTATCACTAATTTTATAAATGAAAGCAATGTGTCATATGTATGCCTATCTACCCTCATCACTTCCAAGACCACCCACCACCACCACTTCATTTTACATTGTTTCTAGTTGCTGTTCTCTTCCTCCTCTCCCTCTTCTTTCTCTTCCTCTCCTTCTTTAATAACCCAATGAGACAAATTAGATTTTTATGATTTTTTTTTTTTACTTTTTTTTCAAAACAGGGTGTTCTGTCTGTTTTGGAACTCCCTCTGTAGATCAGGCTGGCCTGGAACACAGAGATCCACCTGCCTCTGCCTTCAGAATGCTGGATTAAAGGTGCGTAGAACCACCACATAACAGCCATTATTTTGTACATTTTATGTGGAGATAGACCACAACTAAAATTTCTAGTTTTTCCAGGAGCTTGCTGTATAGGTCAGGCAAGTCTTAACTTGTGATCCCTGGCCTCAGATCTCTGAGCACCTAAGGTTTCAAGCTCTATGTCATCTAATCTGTCTTTTTTTTTTTTTTAAACTTTTTATGGTTCTTAGGGCTTTGTACATGCAGGACAAGCTGTCTACCACTGCTATATCCCTAGCCTTACAACTTCTTTAAATGTTTAACACATGTGTCTCAAGACATAGCAATTTTGCTCTAGATTGTAAAGCCAACAATAGAATACATGAGATCACATAAAATCATGGTGTAATAATTTCCATATAGCTTATTAAAATCCAAGCAAAGGATGGGTGCCCCGTATAATCCTATAATTCAACCTGTAATCCACCCACTGAGGAAGACAAAACAGCGAGATCATGTGTTCATGGCTTTCCTGGGATACATAGAAATTGTCTCAAAGAAAAGAGGTGATAAACAAGGACAACAGTTATGCATAGTCTGACAACAGTTATGCATAGTCTGGTAAGTGGGTAAAATGTGTTATGTGCACACTTGGATGGCATTCTACAGTAAAAGGAAACAAAAACATTATGTAAAGTGACCTAACCAGTCACAAAACATTTTATTTATATTGGATTAGAGACAAGTCCTAATATAGTAAGATAAAGTAATGTCATATTTACTCTGAAGCAGGGTTAAAAGTAGTTAATGGCACCCAAAGGACCTGAGGAAAGCCCTACGGGAAGCAAGGGAGAATCTGATTAATGGCAGGTGCATGCCTTGAGAATTTACTCAGACTTACTAAACCAGATACCTGAAAGAGATTAATTCAATTTCATGTAAACAACCTACAGTAGTCTGAGGGTTCGTGGGTGGATCCATTGCCCACCATGCACAAGTCCTAAGATCAGTCCGTAGCACCATAGAACCAATCCACACTCAAGCTATCAAAAATGAGATAATAATTAAAAGTATCAAACATGACTGACACCCAGTTCAGTGTGTCTATACAGAGCTGATGAGCACAGGCATGCTGGCAGTAGGAACTTCAGTCAATGATGTACATATAAAATGGAAACATCCTAAGTGGTCAGTCTCACTGACAGGAAGGTCTTCCCTCCCCCCCACTTCAAGTCAGCAGGGACTTAATACTATCCTTGAATGGTTTTGTTTACTCATTCCACCAGGAGAAGGCACCAGAAGTAATCCTTGAGACTGATTTCCCAGAGAACTGTTTCTCACCACACAGCAAATCTGTGGACATCTTGATTCCAAATTTCACAATCTATAAGACTGTACACTTGTTACTCTTGTTGTAAGCTACTGAAGTTATGATTTTTATTTTGCTTCAGAGATGTGGGTCTTGTTATCATGCCCCAGGGTTATGAATCGGTTTATCTTGGCCTTCAAACATTTGAGGCCACTGATGCTATGAGTGCAGTTTGTAGTTTATGATCTTTTGGGAACATCATTATAAAGACAATAGGGCTTAGCGAAAGCAGGTTTCCTGTTGTTAGTTATAAATATGAGAAAACATAGACTTGCTAAGTGAAGATACAGGATTTTGATGTAGTCAGGCTTCTGTAATCTACAGTCCCTGAAGCACCCACTTCATTTGAAGAGGGTCTGGGGCTTGGAGAAGAGGAGAATGAGGAAGGGGAGAAGACAATGGAAGAAAGGAAGGAAGGAAAGAAGGAAGGACAAACCAATGGAGAAAAATAAGGAAGGGGGAATGAAAGGAAAGAAAGAAGGAAGGAAGAAAGGAAGGAAGGAGAATGAAAGAAAAAAGAAGAAAGGATTGAAGGAAGGAAGGAACAAGGAGCCTAGTTTTAATGAAGGGTTAAAGACGATCTGGATACTTAGGGTTCACACATCCACACTGTTATGGAAACTTTTATTAAGACCAATAAAAATTTGCCCAGAAGAATAAGATGTAACACATGAAGGGCGCCGCATACATATCTGAAAGAGAAAATATTGGGATTAGAAATGATTCTCTGAGTGTCGGAACAAAAAATAGACCTTAAACCTCAGAATGACCCCTCCTGCCCTCATTCCCACACCCCTTTCCTGTTACCGAACACTACAGCACGGTTTCCCTGAGCCCCGTTTAGCTCCTGGATCTTCTGGGGCAGAGTCTTGGTCCAGAACTGCAGCCTTCTGGCCTTCAGGGCTCGGCCCACAGCAGGCTGGGTGTTCAGCTGCAGGTACTGTTCATCTTGGTCCAACATAGGCCAGTGGGGTAGACCCTCGCTGTTGGGGTTCCTGTTGATATGGCAGCCAACAAAGAACAGTATGGTTACCACTCATCCAAAGCCTGATCCTATGTTTTGGGTCAGGGCAGTGGAACAATTAGGACACTGTTTAAGGGGTCTGATGGGACAGGTGTCCTAATATGTGCATATAAGTGTCACTCATGACTCATGTCTCCTTCATTGGGGGGGAGACCACTTGACCTGTTTTATGTTATCTCTAAGAGGCAACATGTAATGAACAGTACCCTAGCATTATAGGCCTACCATCTAGGTCACTGTGAGAGGATCAGTATCTGACACCTACAAAGTATCTATATAAATGTGGTATTGTGCAGAAAAGATTGTATCATACTGTGGAAGATCCATGAATTCTAGAAAACCACCATCCAAATGGAAGCCCTAGGTAGAGACCCACAGATGTAAGATAGAGAGCTGTGTCCTCACCCATATCTTGCAAAGTTGGCCCAGTAATTCATCATCCTCCTGCTCAGCAGCTTCTCCTCCTCAGTGAAGTTAGCTGGAGTCATGAGAAAGACAAAGTGTATGCCACCTCATGCAACTGCTAAGTCACTCTTCACATGCATCATCCCAGCTGTTATCTGACCCCAAAATATTGTCTTTGTTGCTTCCCTTCTTCATTAAGAAGTATGCAAGATCCATAATTGAATTCCTGCACCAATGTGCTGTCAGATCCTCCGTCACAGGCTAGGCTGGGAAGGATGCATATTCTAACCTCTTATAGATTGTTGGGCCATGATATGATACACATTTGATTTTGTTTCCTCCCAGAACCTAGATTTTCTCAAATGGACTGAGAGCTCAGCAGTCACTCAGGAAGTCATCTGGGACCTCATTCAGCTATAATGATAATAATAATGATGATGATGATGATAATAATAATAATAATAAAGACTCACATTTCATCCCAAAGAGCAAGCACCCAAAGACAAAAGGAACCTCATCAGCATGGTCGGCCTTAACGTGGGGTGGTCTGATATCCTTGAGGAAGCTGGACTGATGTTGGAATTCATAGAAGTAGACAGGGGAATGGGAAGCTGGAGGGGGGAAAAGAGAGACATAGTGGCCCCTCACCTGAATTTTTTTCTGATTCATATGTGGTGACAAGATACCTTGATAAAAAGTTAGCAGGAATCACAAAATTAAATGGTGAAAGGAGCCCCCTGCTGGAGCACTAACTATGGAAAAGCCCTTGACTAATCAGTGCCCATGGCCTTCCCAACTTAGTGGTTTTGTTAGGTCAATAGAGTATCAGGAACCCATTTTCTCCTCGGTACCCAGTCTCACTCTCTTAATCTAGATGAGGAGACCTGGACACCATTGCATTCCACAGTGTTCACCCATGACCCTCATCTCGGAGCTGCTCCCCTAAACCTTGTCACAGGTGTACTCACTCTGAAAATGTGCTACTTGGAGTGCAGGGATCACGAACACAAAGTCTGCCATCATCTCTGTGTACTGTATTTGGAGGGTCTGGGCATCTTCAGTGTTCCCCATGTACTCTTCCATTAGCAGGTCGCTACACTCAGGAGGCAGCTTCTAAACCAAGGAGATCAGGAACATTGAAGTTTTCATATTGTGGGTTGGCAACTGCCTTCAGTGTTAGGAGAATGACACCAAGGATGACATAGAGTATAGGTAAAAAGGTTCATGATCTGAGGTAACCCCATGCTAAATCATACATATATACTGATTTTTATTAATACGGAATCTGTCAGAGGAGATATGTGGGATCCAACTATTTGGAAAGGACCAGAATCATCTCACTAGTTCTGCTGTTGTATTCTTCAGAACAGCCTGCAGGTTCTCTCTGGTTATTTCCTTTATTGTCTGAGCAGAGCCCATGACCTGGGAGGCAGAAGACAGTCTTAAGTGTGATGTCTGATGGATTGCATTTCCATCAATACAACTGCTTAGCATATGAGTTTCTAGGCTCCTAAATGATTGGAATTGTGACTCACCCTGGGGATTGTCCAACCAAACTCATCATTGTTGACACCAATGATGCTGGGGACAGGGTGAAAATCCTCAGATGCCAACAACTCTTTGGGATGCCTGGGTAGGAACTCTCCATCCACCACAGCAGGGATCAGGAAGAAGACCTGTGAGGCATTATAAGTCAACGCTGAAAGTTAATGAAATAAATATCCTGACATCCACTGAGTAATCTGAACCTTTTTCTTATTTCTCACTAGTTTCAGGGTGATCTGCTCACCCTAGAGGAGAATATTCACTTAGACTAGCCTATCTTGATATTCATTTTGCACACAGAACTGAAAGAACACAAAGTCATAAAGATGGGGTATTTGGTTCAGAATCCCACATCATGTAAACCAGGTTGTCCCAGACACAGAATTCTCCCAACCTTGTTAAAAGTCAGAATCTGTGCTTCACTCTTGCCTCTCAGACAGCGCACAAGAGCCTCTGAGTCCATGGCCTCACATCCAGAAAGCTTGGCCACGGTCTGCAAAGGGAACAAGCATGGAGAAGAGTTTTCAATTCCAAGTTGATGCAGTTGTGCCTCATTCCCACACTATAGTGTGTGTTGTGTGGATTGGAATAAATACATGTTGCTCCCCTTGTCCTATTGCTCAAAGGTGATAGCCAGGAAGCCGGACCCTTTCTACCTGCATACCTGTTCTTTTTGTTCAGGGGAGCTTTGTTTTCTCCATCGACCTTTTTCTATTTTATGTATGAGGGAAGGAGTAAGTCTATCAAAGTTTGTGCATGAAGATTAGAGGACAAAATAATCAGTCTTCCTGCCCCATTATTTAACAAGATGTCTTTTCTTTTTTGCTGCCTAGACTACCTAAGCTGGTCTGTGAACATCCAGAGATTCTCTAGTCTCTGGCTCCCACATGACCAGAGGAACACTTACATCCTCAGGCTTGCACTCCCAGCACTTTTAAACATCAATGAAGCAGCTTCCAAGCACACATTTACTTACTTTGCCAATGATAGAAGCGTCAAGGACTAGTTTGCTGTTCAGATAACATAGTCACTCAGTATGAAGTAGAGGTGTGTAGGTGCTAACCCCTGAGTTTTTCTGAAATTATTGGAAAGAGGCTGTTTTCCATTGTCCTTGATTTCCTCCAATGAATAGAATACCAGAGTACCAGAATATAAAGGCTTAGGCAGGAGGGTTGAGAGCACTTACAGTATAGACTGTCTCAGAGGTGTTGGAGATAAGGAAAGGCAGCAGCGCTACTCCACTCTCCATGATGGCTCCATGGAAGAGCCCTTGGGACATGGGGGACACAACATGTGAAGACACACTTGTGCCACCTGAAGACTCGCCAAAAATAGTGACACGGTTAGGGTTGCCACCAAAGTGGGCAATGTTCTGCTGGACCCAGCATAGGGCAGCTACTTGGTCCAGGTATCCCCAGTTGCCTCTTGCATGCTGGTCTCCAGTGCTGAGAATTGGAAGGGTTATGGATCAAAGGGATGTCTAGGTTGTGATCAACAATCATTGCCCAGCCCAGCCACAAACTCACCTGAAGAAGCCCAAGACACCAAGACGATACTGGATAATGACTACCACCACATCTTCAGTAGCTGCCAGTGTGGACCCATCATACATGGAAGCCATTCCTGCAACCAGTCCACCACCGTGGATCCACACCATCACCTGGAGAAGTCAAGAGAGGTACCAGGAAACTCCTAGCCTGTCCAAGCTCTTTGATCTGTTTACTAGAATATCAACTACTGTGATTCTGTGCAGCTACAGAAATACATAAAACTCCTCAGGATTTCAGGTCCTTGGCTGAGCCAGGGACCTCTAGTAGCTACTAGTGCCCATTCCCACCATGTGTTTCACTTTGAATTAATGCCTCTATATATAGAGAAATGTCATCATTTTTTGGGGGGTCTTCACAGTAGAACAAAGAGGGGCATCTCCATGAATATCTTGCCAGATTAAAAATGGAAAGGATCAGAGGACTTCCGGTCTGGGCCCGAGCATATAGCAGATCTCAGCCGGCAGCTCTGTACCCAACCTCAGAAAACCCAGAGAAAGAAGGCCTCCTAGGAGCTTTAACTTGGGCAGCATCTCAGGTAAGGAAACAGCAACACCCACCCCAAACAGGGGGTAACTGGGACCCACTAGGACCCAGGAATTCACTCCTGGCCTTGACCACGTGTTCTTTCCAGTCTGGGCCTGAGCGCTCAGCAGATCCCAGGAGTCAGCTCTGCACCCAATCTCACAGAACCCAGAGAAAGCAGGGCTCCTAGGAGCTCTAACCCAAGCAGTAGAGCAGTATTTTAGGCAAGGAAGCAGCAACATTTGCCCCAAACAGGGAGCAACCGGGACCCACTGGGACCCAGGAATTCACTCCTGGTCCAGAGCACGTGTTCCTTCCAGTCTGAGCCAGAGCACTCAGCAGATCCCGGGAGACAGCTCTGCACCCAGTCTCACAGAACTCAGAGGAAGTGGGGTTCCCAGGAGCTCTAACCTGAGCAGTATCCTAGCCAAGGAAGCTGCAACATCTGCCCCAAACAGGGAGTAACAGGGACCCACTGGGACTCAGGAATTCATTCCTGGCCTGGAGCATGGGTTCCTTCTGGTCTCCACCTGAGCACTGAGCAGATCTTGGGCCTCAGCTCTAACCCCAGCAGCAAAACCCACCCCAAACAGTTCTGACACAACCTAGATAATAGGAAAGACAGGCTCCAGTCAGAGACAGCACAGATAGTACAAAGGAGATCCAGATGGTGAAAGGCAAGCACAAGAACATAAACATCAGCAACCCAAGGTACTTGCCATTATCAGAACCTAGTTCTCCCAAGTTAGAAAGTCCTGAACTCCCCATATCACCAGGAAAGCAAGAACCAGATCTAAAATCACTTCTAATGATGATGATAGAGGACTTTAAGAAGGACATAAATAACACTATCAAAGAACTTGAGAACACAGGTAGAAGCCCTTAAAGAGGAAAAACAAAAATCCCTTAAAGAATTACAAGAAAACACAAACAAACAGGTGAAGGAATTGAACAAATCCATCCAGGACATAAAAACAGAAGTAAAAACAATAAAGAAATCACAAAGGGAGACTACCCTGGAGATAGAAAACCTAAGAAAGAAATCAGGAGTCATAGACACAAGCATCACCAACAGAATACAAGAGATAGAAGAAAGAATCTTAGGTGCAGAAGATACCATAGAAAATATTGACACAACTGACAAAGAAAATGCAAAATGCAAAAAGTTCTTAACACAAAACATCCAGGAAATCCAGGACACAATGATGTCCTAAGGATATAGGATATAAGGATAAACCTAAGGATAATAGGTATAGAAGAGAGTGAAGATTCCCAACTTAAAGGGCCAGTAAATATCTTCAAGAAAATTATAGAAGAAATCTTCCCTAACCTAAGGAATGAGATACCCATAATCATAGAAGAAGCCTACAGAATGCCAAATAGACTAGATCAAAAAAGAAATACTTCCTGTCACATAATAATCAAAACACAAAATGCACAAAACAAAGAAAGAATTTTAAAAGCAGTAAGGGGAAAATGCCAAGTAACATACAAAGGCAAACCTATCAGAATTACACCTGACTTCTCACCAGATACTATAAAAGCCAGAAGATCCTGGACAAATGTCATACAGACCCTAAGAGAACATAAGTGCCAGCCCAGGCTACTATACCCAGCAAAACTCTCAATTACCATAGATGGAGAAACCAAGATATTCCACGACAAAACCAAATTTACACAGTATCTTTCCAAAAATCTACAAAGGATAATAGCAGGAAAGCTCCAATACAAGGAGGGCAATCATACCCTAGAAAGAGCAAGAAAATAATCCCCTTCCAACAAACTCAAAAGAAGATAACCACATAAACAATGCCTCCACTATTAGCAAAAATGACAGGAAGCAACAACACCCTCTCCTCAATATCTCATAACATCAATGGACTCAATTCCCCAATAAAAAGGCATAGGCTAATGCACTGGATATGCAAACAGGACCCAGCTTTTTGCTGCATACAGGAAACCCACCTCAGTGACAAAGACAGACACTACCTTAGAGTAAAAGGTTGGAAAACAATTTTTCAAGTAAATGGCCCTAAGAAACAAGCTGGAGTAGCCATTCTAATATAGAATAAAATCGACTTTCAACTTAAAGCTATCAAAAAGGATAAGGAAGGACATTTCATACTTGTCAAAGGAAAAGTCAACCAACATGAACTCTCAATTCTGAATATCTATGTGCCAAATGCAAGAGCACCCACTTTCATAAAAGAAACCTTACTAAATCTCAAAGCACACATTGCACCTCACACAATGATAGTGGGAGACTTCATCATCCACTCTCAGCAATGGATAGACCATGGAAACAGAAACTAAACAGAGATACAGTGAAACTAACAGAAGTTACGAACCAAATGGACTTAACATATATCTATAGAACATTTCACCCTAAAGCAAAAGAATATACCTTTTTCTCAGCACCTCATGGTACCTTCTCCAAAATAGACCATATAATTGGGCACAAGACAGGCCTCAACAGATAAAAAAAAATTGAAATAATCCCTTGCATACTATAAGATCACCATGGTCTAAGGCTGGTCTTCAAGAATGACAAAGACTATGGAAAGCCGACATTCACATGGAAACTGAACAACACCCTACTCATTGACAATCTGGTCAGAGAAGAAATAAAGAAAGAAATTAAAAACTTTTTAGAATTTAATGAAAATGATGGCACATCATACCAAAACTCATGGGATACAATGAAAGCAGTGCTAAGAGGAAAATTCATAGGTCTAAGTGCCTACAAAAAGAAACTGGAGGGAGCATACACTAGCAGCTTGACAACACACCTGAAAGTCCTAGAACAAAAAGAAGCTAATACACCCAAGAAGAGTAGACGGCAGGAAATAATCAAACTCAGGGCTGAAATCAACCAAATAGAAACAAAAAGAGCTATACAAAGAATCAATAAAACCAGGAGCTGGTTCTTTGAGAAAATCAAGATAGATAAACCTTTAGCCAGACTAATCAGAGGGCAGAAAGACAGTATCCAAACTAATAAAATTAGAACTGAAAAGGGTGACATAACAACAGAAACCAAGGAAATTCAAAAAATCATAAGATCCTACTACAAAAGCCTATACTCAACAAAATTGGAAAATCTGGATGAAATGGACAATTTTCTAGACAAATACCAGTTACCAGTGTTAAATCAGGATCAGATAAACCATCTAAACAGTCCCATAACCCCAAAAGAAATAGAAGCAATCATTAAAAGTCTCCACACACAAAAAAAGTTCAGGAGCAGACAGTTTTAGTGCAGAATTCTATCAGACCTTCAAGGAAGACCTAATACCAATTCTCTTCAAACTATTCCACAAAATAGAAACAGAAGGAACACTGCCCAATTCACTCTATGAAGCCACAATTACATTCATACATAAACCACACAAAGACCCAACAAAGAGAACTTCAGACCAATCTCCCTTATGAACACTGATGCAAAAATACTCAATAAAATTCTAGCCAACTGAATCCAAGAACACATCAAAACAGTTATCCATCATGATCAAGTAGGCTTTATCCCAGGAATGCAGGGTTGGTTCAGTATACGGAAATCTATCAATGTAATCCACTATATAAACAAACTCAAAGAAAAAGACCACATGATCATCTCACTAGATGCTGAGAAAGCATTTGACAAAATTCAACACCCCTTCATGATAAAAGTCTTGGAAAGATCAGGAATTCAAGGTCTATACCTGAACATAGTAAAAGGAATATACAGCAAACCAGTAGCCAACATCAAACTAAATGGAGAGAAACTTGAAGCAATCCCACTAAAATCAGGGACTAGACAAGGCTGCCTACTCTCACTCTACCTATTCAATATAGTACTGGAAGTCCTAGCTAGAGCAATTAGGCAACACAAGGAGGTCAAAGGGATACAAATTGGAAAGGAAGAAGTCAAAATCTCATTATTTGCAGATGATATGATAGCATACTTAAACTTCCACCAAAAAACTGCTAAGCCTGATAAACAAATTTAGCAAGGTGGCTGAATATAAAATTAACTCAAGCAAATCAGTAGCCTTCCTCTACTCAAAAGACAAACTGGCTCAGAATGAAATTATGGAAATGGCACCCTTCACAATAGTCACAGATAATATAAAATACCTTGGTGTGAACCTAACCAATCAAGTAAAAGACCTGTATGAAAAGAACTTCAAGCCCCTGAAGAAAGAAATCGAAGCAGATCTCAGAAGATGGAAAGATCTCCTATGCTCACGGATTGGAAGGATTAATATAGTAAAAATGGCTATCTTGCCAAAAGCCATCTACAGATTTAATGCAATCCTCATCAAAATTCCCACTCAATTCTTCACAGAGATAGAAAGAGCAATCTTAAAATTCATTTGGAATAACAAAAAACCCAGGATTGCGAAAACTACTCTCAGCAATAAAAGAACTTCTGGGGGAATCACCATCCCTGACTTCAAGCTGTACTACAAAGCAATAGTGACAAAAACTGTGTGGTATTGGAACAGAGACAGGCAGGAGGATCAGTGGAATAGAATAGAAGACCCAGAAATGAACCCTTATACCTATGGTCACTTGATCTTTGACAAAGGAGCTAAAACCATCCAGTCAAAAAGGACAACATTTCCAACAAATGGTGCTCATCCAACTGGAGGTCAACATGTAGAAGAATGCAAATTAATCCATACTTATCTCCTTGTACAAAGCTCAGTTCTCAATTCCAAGTGGATCAAGGACCTCCACCTAAAAACAGCCTCACTGAAACTAATAGAAGAGAAATTGGGGAAAAGCCTGAACACATGGGCACAGGAGAAAAGTTCCTGAACAGAACACCAATGGCTTGTGTTCTAAGACCAAGAATTGACAAATGGGACCTCATAAAACTGCAAAGCTTCTGTAAAGCAAAGGACACAGTCAATAGGACAGAGCGGCAACCAACAGATTGGGACAAGATCTTCACCAAGCGTACATCTGATAAAGAGCTAATATCCAAGATATACAAAGAACTGAAGAAATTAGACTCTAGACAATCAAAGAACCCTATTAAAAAATGGAGCACAGAGCTGAACAAAAATGGTTGAGAAGCACCTAAAGAAGTGTTCAGCATCCCTAGTCATCAGGGAAATGCAAATGAAAACAACCCTGAGATTCCACCTCACACCAGTGAGAATGGCTAAGATAAAAAACACAGGTGACAGCAGATTTTGGCGAGGATGTGGAGAAAGAGGAACACTCCTCCACTGTTGGTGGGATTGTAAACTGGTACAACCACTATGGAAAGCAGTCTGGCAGTATCTCAGAAAATTGAACATAGTGTTACCTGAGGACCCAGCTATACCACTCCTGGGCATATACCCAAAAGATATTTCAACATACAACAGGGACACATGCTCCACCATGTTCATAGCAGACTTATTTATAATAGCCAGATGTTGGAAAGAACTCAGATGTCCTTCAATAGAAGAATGGATGCAGAAAATGTGGTACATTTATACAATGGAGTACTACTCAGCTATTTTTTTAATATTCTTAGGCTAATGGATGGAGCTGGAAAATATCTTGAGTGAGGTGACCCAATCTTAAAAGAACATACATGGTATGCACTCACTGATAAGTGGATATTAGCCCAAAAGCTCACAATACCTAAGACACAATGTATAGACCACATGAAACTAAAGAAGAAGAAGGAAGACTAAAGTGTGGTGCTTTGGTCCTTTCTAGAAGGAGTATCAAAAGTTTCAACCAGCCAGAGCTCCCAAAGCCTAAACTTCCAGACTGAGAGCACAAAGGGAGGGACTCATGTCTCCACCTGTATAGGTAATTGAGGGTGGCCTTGTCAGACATCAGTGGAA